TGTGCCAATAATGATGTTCGGAAAATATACGCCTACCTTTTGCAATGGGAGTGCCCCCCCCCCCCGGGAAGCAACTAGCTATTTGTTTTACACGCAGCATCTACGTATGTTGGCTGCGAACCTGAACCCATATACATCCCTCCCTGTCCACTGAATACACGAGGCAATGTTCCAATAAGCAGTGTGACACAAATACCTGAACCCATATACATCCCTCCCTGTCCACTGAATACACGCGGCAATGTTCCACTAGCAGTGTGACACAAATACCTGAACCCATATACATCCCTCCCTGTCCACTGAATACACGCGGCAATGTTCCACTAGCAGTGTGACACAAATACCTGAACCCATATACATCCCTCCCTGTCCACTGAATACACGAGGCAATGTTCCACTAGCAGTGTGACGAAAATACCTGAACCCATATACATCCCTCCCTGTCCACTGAATACACGCGGCAATGTTCCACTAGCAGTGTGACACAAATACATTCATTCAGACCTATCAAATCTCACGCATTTAGCAGGAGACTCACGCATCTCGACCCACTCTCCCGCACTCCCGCATGCCCTATAGAATACTAGGCATTCTCGCGCATTCACGCAAAAGAAAAAAACTGTATGTAATACTTCAGAATAAAAGTTTTTATGCCTTAAAATTTAAGTTTGTCTTCTTTTATTCGAATGCTAACAGAATATATGTACTGCAAATACATATTTTAAAGCCAAATATTTAGAAACTGGTCGTGTTTGAAAATATTCTGAACCTCACGCATTATATTCTCGAAATCACCTCTTCTCCAGCAAAATCTCACTGAACCTCCAGCAAGCTGGTTAAACACCCTTGGCAGGTCTGTTCATTATAACGTGCACACGGGACTCAGTGACTGAGATCGATGGAACATTTCCTATATGAATTACAACTAAATCATCTGCGTATGGTATTTCTGTATGTAGATATAATATGTAGCACGAGGGAAGCGAACTCGTGTTTCATATACTATAGATTTCACGGATAAGAAAGATTATTTAATTAATTAGCAGTAATTAATTAATACTCGTCGTTATAAGGACACGTATAACGATAGTTTACTCCTATGTTAGAGCTTCATCTACATTATTTCGGTGAAAGCCCCGAGTCTCTCGAACTTTCTGCATGGTGCGTAACAGGCATCCATGTTGTCCGCTCATCCTCTACAGTGAAGTAGTTCTCCAGGTCACCTTGGCGCACCTACAGGACAACACATAGACGTGGTTAGCAACAACAGCAACAACAACAACAACAACAACAACAACAACAGCAACAGCAGCAGCAGCAGCAGCAGCAGCAGCAACAACAAGTAGCAGCTACGTTTCAAGGGAATAGAGAGAAGAGGAGAGAGAGAGAGAGAGAGAGAGAGAGAGAGAGACCAGCCCGCGGCCTCGCGATGAGAGAGAGAGAAGAAGATGAGTAGAGAGAAAGAGAGAGAGAGAGAGAGAGAGAGAGAAAGAAGAAGAGGGTAGAGAGAGAGAGAGAAAGAGAGAGAGAGAGAGAGAGAGAGCGCGCGCAAAGGGGAGAGAGACAGGGAGAAACAGAGAGCGACGGACAGTCAGACAGAGCGTGAGAGCCAGAGACAGATAGAGAGAGAAAGAGCGAGAACGGATGAGCGAGAGAGAAAAACAGCGAGAAATAATAAAGGGAGACAGAGAGGCAGAGATAAAGAAGGGGACCAATAAAGGCAGGCACTGATAGGAAGAAAGAAGATGGGTATGAGGGTAGAGAGAGATGGGGAGGGAGAGAGAGTGGGTGAGAGGGTAGAGGGGAAGAGACCGAAAGAGAGAGAGGGCGAAAGAGAAAAACAAACAGGAAGCAGACTGATTGATCTGTAGACTGACCGCCTAACCCAGTGGTTCTTAACCTTTTTAGAGGCGCCGAACCCTAACGAAACCCACTGCTCACTCGCCGAACCCCTCAAATTTGAGAAAAACAAATCAATTTTAATTAATCCAAAAATAAAACATGTTGCATCAACATTCAAGACTATATTTAGAAAGCGTGCAAGGAATAAACAAAAAATAAAAATTCTAATAAAAATTGCACACAAAATGAAGTGCACAGATAATGCGCAATCAGCGGAATTGCATCTTAATGCGTTTTTTGTTCTTGTTTTTGGGCGACGATCTGAGAAATGCGTGGCTTTGTTTTGGCAAGGGCTACCCTCATATCATTTTCGCATGCAAGCCTGCTCCTTTTCTTTGTTTTGATATCCACCAGTTTCGAAAACGCATGCTCGCAAATACAAAATATATATAAAACAATTTTTTGTACAAAATTTTAATGGGTTTCGGAGGACCTCTGCCGAACCCCTGAGACTGGCTCACCGAAACCCTGGGGTTCGGTCGAACCCAGGTTAAGAACCACTGGCCTAACCGCAGACTACATTGCCCACACACGTCTAGCTATCCTTATATGTAGCGAGTGTACGGTAAAAGGAAAATGGCGGTAAGATACCTTTCCGCATGAATGGTGTCGCATCTTGCGTTCTGGATGCTTTCATAGCAGTGTTGTTAACCGTGTTGTTCCTCTTCATGCTGCTAAATGTCGTAGCTTCGACTATCTTGTCAATTTTCTCCTCGCTCAAATTTTTCCCAAGGAAGTTTGTGACTCGTCTGACTTCGCCTTTTAGATCCTAAAACCAGGAGAGAGTTACATTATGTACGTCTACGACGTGTTGACATCGTATTTTACTTTCCTTGTTTTCCCTAGCCGAGTTTATGCAATAGACAATGATAATTGTCACGTCTGTAGTTTGGTTTTAATAAACCCGACAGAGTACATTAGTTTGAACCACAGTTGAATGTTCTCGTTACAGTTACTCTGCGAACTGCAATCAGAATCAGAATCTAGCACGCACACAATCTGAGATATTTCAGATACGAATTACCTTTTTCATGTCTTCGTATTTCACGAAAAGTATGTTTTCCCAGTGCCTGTGTTTCCAGAAATCTACTTGATGCTGCCAATATTCACCGTAATTACCTGTTAAAAGTTTATATCCTTGTTATCATGGTATTACCAGGAGAATATAAAAGAAATAATTACTAATTACTTATTATCATTTATTCTTGATATATATATATTATGTATGTATATATATATTCTTTTCTTTCTTTTTTTGTTTAAATATGTATATGACGTGTGTGTAGTTTTTCACGCAGGCAGACACACACGCGCGCACGCACGCACGCACGCACGCACGCGTGCACTGTAGGCAAGGTACATGATGTCTACAGGACTGTGCGTGGATGTAGGCCGAGTATATGCGTACATTTTCCCTGCATATAGTACTTGTAAAACTCAGGAAAGGTGCTGTTAGCGAAGTCGTTGTGCATTCCCATTGGCGATAAGTCAAATCCCTTGGTGAAGTGATAGAAGGAAACTGCCGTATCTTTAGGGTTCCTGCTAACGTATACAATCTGCAACATAAATTACATCGTTACTACAATTCGCCATCTTAAATACGTCTACTAACATGTTTTGAATCGTACACAGTTAACCGATTACATTATCAGATTATATGTTAGTTAACAACCTTATATCAACCAAAGTATCGTGATGAAAGTAAGCAATTCTTTGGTCCAGTATCATATCTCCCATCATCCTATCCTATCACATCAGTGTCAGCAATAAGTGCATAATTTAGCATGAAAAATATTATATCTTGTAATATATGAAATGACAGCATTTTACGCTCGACTGATCGGCTGATTGGTGACGTAATGATGACGTAATGATAGGAACATTCATGTGTTTTCATTGATAAACGATCGGGGCACCGTCTAACGATATCACTCTCCAATGAAATTTTAATTATAATATACTTTTGGAGTTTTGGTCCTTTTTACGATTTGGGTTGGAAGAAGTTGAAAATTCATATGTGTTTTGAAGAGCCTTGGCGATGGTCTCGCCTCCCAGTCGGGACATTCTGGAAGTTTCTTCAGCTTTCCGAACTCTGCCATATTTTTATTATTGAATGGCCACTCCAGCAATAGGAATAATTCATCGAGTTCCTTACTGCCACCTTGGAATGCGACGTCCGCGTCATTCATGACGAGCCAGACGATTGCCTGCATCCATGTTGTACCTGTAGACATATCATCATCACTAGTCTACTGCTGAACGTGTGAGCGAGGATATACGGCGTGTGTGTCTGTAAACCAAGCTGTACGTTTGGGTTGTGCGGCTGGGTTACGCACGCAGTGAGGGAATGAGACCGTGCAATACAACAATTCGCTTCAACATTAATTCGCTCTACTATTATTGATAAATTACTAGACTGCACTCGTTCTCTGCTTCTTGCTAAAACAAGTTTGTTTCGATAGATCTTTTTATATGTGTCGTGCGTGTGTGTGTGCGTGAGTGCGTGCGGGTGTGTGTCCGTGTATGTGCGTGTGTGCGCGTGCGTGAGTGTGAATGTTAGTAAGGTAGTATATGCTCTTGGTAGTATATATAGTATGATCAATTTTCAGGAATGAGTGACTAGCTTACTAAAATTGTCAACAACTTACCACATTTCGGATAGGACATGACATAGACATCGTCGTCACGGCATTTCAGCTTCTCGTACTCGGGCATGTAAGTTACCGTGTACTTAAGCAAGAAAGTGTTTTTATAAACACGGAGATAACTAGGTAGCGGCAACTCTTCATCCTGAATTTTCTCTGACATCTTGCAGCACAAATATGTATCAAATGTGGGGCAAAATCCTTCGGTTACCGGTCTGCAGAGCCGCCACGTAACTTGTGTGTTATAACGCCGAGCAGGGCGAATCAACACTGAGCGTCCTCCTCTGTCGCTTACTTATGCATAACGTCAACTCATGCATAGGTCAGTGCATGAATATATTTTATATCTACACCTGATGCACTTTTATTTGTCTAATAGATTATAGAGCACTATCGGTTAAACACGTGACCCGAAACGCCATAAAAACGCCTACAAATTTGTTTCTACGAAAGATTTAGATCTGCGAAAAAAGTATATTCATGATCACATATGACAGGAGAATATCTAACATGAGCATATTTATATCGCATCTTATCAATAACTAATAATACATAATATGGACCGTGAAGGCTTTCACACTTCATTTCCACTCTGCAGCTGTACGTGGCTCTTGCTCTAGTGCAGGAACGGCTGGGGCGATATCTGTAGTTAGTATAAGCATTGATAGAGTCGGACACGGAGCTACACGGAAATACCGTCAACACGGCGACTAAACCCACCAGCATCTAAAGACACGATGAGTAACGGAATATCACTAGGTAGGTGCGCTCTTACTAAGCATCTAATTATCTATTAACTTAATTACTATCAGTTAACATTTACAGTTTATTACATTCTTCTTTGGGAGGAGTAGCTGACTCTATGTACAGCTAGAGACGTGTGTCCCGACAGAGTATTATTGTACTCTATTTAATATTTTAATAGCAGAAGCTCCATTAGGAAAGCACAACAGAATTTATTCGCATCTGATTGGTTGATATTACATTAGAGTCATCCGGGTACAATTATGACGTATAGTGCATATATGACACTCTGGGAGGAGTGGCTGACTCGATCTCTTGTGATTTGTGAAGCAAGCATGCACCTAATAACCTGCGGATGTGTCTCTGTGAGAGATGTTTGCTGGCCGTGGTTTGTGCATCCATGCCGGAGGAGGTCTGTTCTATGGGGCTATGCGTGGAACCATAGTGTGGAGATTTTGGGGGTGTGTAACTTACAGGAGCAGTGGACTAGATCAGGATGGATAGACTGAACTCGCAGTATAGATATAGAGTAGCCATATATTTACTAAAGAGAGGATAAGATATAGACCGCACATAAATATATGTCAACACGCACGTCCATGGGCGCAGCCATCTTGGATCATGCTATCACTGCTGCTGCTACCTGTCGGGGAAAACAAGGAGTGAATACGCGAAAAGCGATAACGCGATAAATAGAATATAATAATCAACGCGGTTATGTACTATTAATCAGCATAATATATGAGGAGATTTAAATAGAATGAATAGTCTAAGTTGTCGAAGAGAAGAATATTTACTTAGAAACGAGTTGCATAAGATGATGTAACCATCGTACCAGCCACGGGTTGCATCAGCAGGTGAAACGTACGATTGCACCAGCGAACGAAATCTGCGTGCCAGCTAACCCGACCAGGCTGTGTGACTAACGTCAATACACCGCCTGACATCCATCCATTGAAAAATCTTGTAGCTGTACAAAAACTACCGAACAATTACGTATCATAGATGTCCGCAATTAAATTAGCAATTGGTTTATTGCTTGCTCATCGGTCAGTGTAAAT